CCGCGTACTACTCACCTTCCATGCAACATAAACCTTGTCAACAGGAGGGCGTCCACGGACGACTGTGTATTCGCTGAACACGTCTGTCTGCACTTATGGCCAAAGGAGTACCTTGAAATGCGTACGTTCTAACGTGCGTGAGACGGAGCAGAACGTGGAAGTTCCACGATGGTCCGCGCACTGCCTGTATGATGTGATTGCCATCATCAGGAGGGTCCCCGTGCAGCCCAACTTTTGTGACTGTGGACAGCGTGTCTACAACAGCGCTTGTGCGGGTGACTTGAGCAATTAAAACCACTTACACAATACACACGTGCCGAACGCGTCTTCCCATGCACCCCGCCAAAGGAGTATGCTTCGAAAAGTTTGTGCTCACGACCTTGCTTGACACGGAGCAGAGCTTAAAAAATGAAGAACACCCGTTTCTTTAAGGAACCGCAAGGCAAGCAGGTGCGTGCTTCAAATGGCGCAGCAGGCTCAATGCAATGCCCTCATGACAAGACAAACCGCTGTTCAATAACTTCCATTGTGGAATGGGAATGATCTTCCTTCAGAAAATCAGTATCCCCTCAATCGGGCACTGACACAGCAATAACGAGCCTTGCCTGTACCAAGCTTTAAATATGCGCTACTTCAACGCAACACTCTTCCCATTGCAGGCATTCTTGTCAGATCAAACAGATCTATCAGATTTTCCCTCTCAACGGGCAGGCCCTAGAAACCATAGTTCCAGCCGAGGGTGCGGAGTCTGCCTCCTGCCTGGGACAGCAGGTCATCGCATAGGGAAAAGGACACCACTGTGTCCTTAAAAAGCAATGTCATAATGCTTTGTGCCATGTATTTGCTGGCCAGCGAGGAGCCACCAAAATCAGCCCTGTCCAGGGGGGCTGTATCAATTCCCTCAGCTGCTTTCTATTTGAATATATTTTAAAATGTAATTTATTCCTGTGATCAAAAAGCTGAATTTTCAGCATCATTGCTGCAGACTTCAGTGTCACATGATCCTTCAGAAATCATTCTAATATGCTGATTTGCAGCTCAAGAAAACATTTATTATTATTATTATTATTATTATTATTATTATTATTATTATTATTAATCTGAAATAGAAATATTTTGTAACATTATAAATGTCTTTATCATCACTTTTGATCAATTTAAAGCATCTTTGCTAAATAAAAGTAATAATAAAAGTAAATAAGTAATAATCCCTTTTTGGTATAGTGCATGTATAATGTTACAAAAGCTTTTTATGCGAGATAAATGCTGATCTTTGAATATTTCTATTCATCAAAAAATCCTGATGTACTCAACTGTTTTAAATATTGATGATGATAATAATAATAATAATAATAATAATAACAAATATGTTTCTTGAACAGCAAATGAGCATATTAGAATGATTTCATGTGACACTGAAACCTGGAGTAATGGCTGCTGAAAATTCAGCTTTGACATCACAGGGATAAATTACATTTTAAGATATATACAATAGAAAACCATTGTTTAAAATTTTTAACCCTCTACCGCATGGTGTGGCCATATGGCAACATGGTCTTTGTGTTAATTTCCTTGCCACTGTCTCTTTAAGAGAACATTCTCGTTTTTTTTGTTGGAAAGAGAAG